GGGCAAGTATCTTCCCGTAAACCTACTGCACGCTAATCCAAGCATCTCAGCTGCCTTCACGCCACCCATCTGCTCGCCACTCGGTTGATGCTAACCTGCCCGCACGGAGTCTAGGGAATAGTGAGGTATTTGGCTGGCTTCCAGGTTGCAAAGGCAGAGCACTGGACAAAAAAAAAAAAAGGCATATATGTACATGCACGTGACAGGATTTAAGCCCAGCCACAGCCAAACGTTACTACTGTGCTTTGCACGGGCTGCAGCAGTGTTCTCTGTCCTACCACACACCCTTGTGCACCCCACAAACTGGGAGAGGGGGGTTCTTCCAGGCAGTATCTGCACTTGGTGGCTGTCGCTGCCACCCACCATGGATGACGGAGCCTCCGGAGCAATCACGAGGCTCCAAGTCATCCCCTTCTGCCCCGAGTCTCCAACAGCCATCAGCTGAGTGACAGGAAAGCCACATGAGCAGTACCAGGTCCTGGTAGGGCTCTGCTGCTGTAGGTGCTTCTGGCAGCAGTAGCAACCTGGCTCGGTAGGAGGGGTGCTCCTCCTTGCGTGGTTGCAGGATGTCGGACTCAGCCAAAGTTGTGATCTAGAATAAAAGATTCTCTGCAGCTTTTTTCCTCTAAAACCTCATAGCTTTTCCACAGCACAAAGCTTGCCCAGACTGCAGATAGCTTGAAGCCCTTTAACAGTCTTTTGAACAAGTCCCAGCTGAAGACAGATGTTTCCGCAACTCAGTTGGGTAAAAGGTGTCCCACCTCCTATGGGGGTGACCCAATTGCCCTCTATTTTAAAACGTAGGAGGCACAGTAAGAGAACCCCCATGCCAGTTGAGAGAGACAGCAGGACTGTCCTGTGTTTTACACAGTGTTTTACACACAGGAAGCTGTTTCGAAGAGGTCTGTGCAGTGTAAGGCGCCGTGAAGCAGCCGGTGTTTCAGGTTTGCAGTGAGCACTGGGGATGTTTGTATGGGCTTAGCATTTGCTCTCTGTGTTTCAGCCCACCTGGCTGACGGTGCTTCTGTGCTTGTTGCACAGGGATGGCAGCGGGCAGCCAGAGCAGACTGACCGGTGAGGTGGGGTTCAGCCCTCCTGTGCCATTTGCAGCCCAATGTGTGACTTGACACTGCAGTTGTGTGTTGGGGACAGGCAGCAGTCATTTGACGCGTGCACTGTGGCATTGGGCTGCCAGCGGGGCACGTGGTGGCTGACAGCCATGTCCTGTAGTCACAGGGAGTCCCAGCGCAGGAGGGAAGCAGGCGCTGATAATCCTGCAGTCGGGGAGTGCAGCGTTCACATCAAAAAGTGACCTTCCCTGTTTGCAGAAGGTGAAATCTGCAGATGCAGACTATAAAACAGTGTGGGTTTGAGAACGAGAATATCTTAGATACCATGAAAGCTTGAAACAGCTACAGCAGCCCTATAGGGAGCAAGCAACTGCTGTCCTCAAGCAGCTCCTACTTGGCTTTGTAGCTCTGATGATTCAAAAATTGCTCTCTCCTAGATCACAACAAATCCAAAAGTGTCCCAATACATACTCTCAGATAGGCTCCCTCCTTCTCTTTCAGGATTTTCCATCTTTTCCCGAGCTCTCCAGCCATTGCCTTTGCTGCCCATCCCTGAACACAGTCCTAGACATGCACCATCTGGAGAAGAGCCTTTGCAGGGCAGCCTCTGTGCCCAGAGGGCTGTGGGAGGAGGCACGGAGCGCTCAGTGGAAAAGGAGTAAATCTCATTAAGGGTTTTAACATTTATGGCCAGCAAGATAATGAAGGAAGGTAATTTGGGGTAGCCGTATTGCAGTTATCATAATGTTTCCCTGAAGCACAAAGATAAAAGTCAGTGGATAATGTCCATAAGGAGTTTTTATATCTTCCTCTTTTTATTTTTTTTTTTAAGCAATAGCCATTGCAGTCAAAGACGGGTGTCATTTACAAACACAGAGAAGGCAATTGTGTGACACTGAAACGCAAAATTACAAGACTCTCAAGGCTCACCTGGCTGTCACGACCCATGTTGGAGACCCACTGCAGTTGACAAGAATCCCTTGTCCCCACCATTAAATTGTTTTACTAGGAGGAGCAGTGCTCTCCCCATGTTTATCTCACAGGGACCTGTATTTGGAGATGTCCTGGCAGATCTTCTCTTCCTCCCCTTTTATATTCTGGCTTTACTTTCTCATTTTACCCTATTCTGCAATGTAAGAAGAAGGGTAGATGATGAACTGGGAACAGGGTATGCCTAAAATGAGGGAAAACAAATAACTTTTCTTTTTTTTTCTCTGCACTAATGAACTTGTGGAACTCACTGCCACAGGGCATGACTGGAGCCAAGCGGTTCCTGTGCACAACTCATCACAGAACATGCTTGCACAAAACTCTCTAGCATCTTTGCTTAAGACTTACATAGAGTGGATTGGTATCTGTAAGACATTTTTTTGTGGCCCAAAGCTTGTTGTTTGCTACGATTAGGGATTTTTATTTCTTCCTCTGAAACATAGTGCGATGAGCTTTCTGTTTCCTCAGAGAGGAATGCTAACAAATCAGTAATATTTAACATAGCGCAGCAGTGATTTGCAGGGCTAAACAAAACTGTCACCCCAGAGATTTCGCAGCACCGGTGCTCGCTCTAGCAGCCATCACCCATGGGTGCACAGTGCGCCAAGATGGGTCCACACGCCCCCCCGAACCTGAATCAACTGCAGAAGCCAGTCAGGCTGTGGTGATAAACCAAGACAGCAAGCAAAGGTATTTCAAAAGCTGTTACTTTACTTCCCCCCACTGTGACAGCCTGATCGCTCATTATCTCCCAAATGTTTCCAGCAAAATTTTATGAATTTTTTCCACCAGTTCTGAGATTTGTACTTTTTTCTGAAGGAAGCACATTACTTCACCATTTCAAACAGCCCCAGACCCTGACCGCAGCAGATGGCTGAGACTCCCAATATAAATTATCAATGTCACCAGTCCTCCCAAAAACTAGGATAACCCAGACTGGCCTGTGACTAAAACAGCTGACTGGAAGGCAGGGCGACAGACTCTTTGCACAGCCCTTTTTCTTGTTACAGTGCCATTGGGCAAAGCCGCCATCTTGCACAGAGCCCATTTTGGCCTGGGGTTTTGTGGCTGGATAATGGCACCCTGAAGATTGTCTGACAGTATTGACTTTATGTCCGGATCTGGAACACACAAATGGAGACAAAGCCCTACTGTGGATGAGTGGGGAGGAAGAGAAAGGGTGATGGGCTGCACAAGGGCGGCTGCGGTGCCTTCAGCCACACAAGCATCTCTGCGAGCCGAGTGGCACCGCCTGAGGAGACGGCCTGTGAGGCGGACTACAACTCCCAATATGCTCTGCGGCCTCGCGGCCCCTACGAGAGCGCGCCGCGCAGGGAACTACAACTCCCATCCTGCACCGCTCCACACGCCGCTTTTCTATTGGCTGGCTGTCGGGCTGGCGCGAATCCCCTTCCCCTCAAGGGGAGTGGCGCTTCTCGCATCTCCACGACAACAGGAGAGCAAACAAGATGGCGGCGGCCCGTTCGGTGGGGTGACGGGGTGGTGCTCGAGTGCGAAGCACCGATAGCGCGGTTCCCTCTGCGTCCTCGCTTCTTATTACAGCTCATGGCGGGGGGCGAGGAGAAGGGGGGAGAGGGCAGCCTCGGTGAGCTGCTTACCCCCTCTTATGGGTCTCTGCAGCACCTCTCCCAGGGGATCCCTGGGGAGCTGCCCCAGCACAGGCTCAGACTGCGGCAGCCCCATTTTTAGCCTGCCTCGCCAAGAGGACAAGCAGGAGGAGGATGACGAAGAGGAAGAGGAGTCACAGCGCACAGAGGTTCAGCTCAGTGCCCCCCAGCTATTTGGGGAGGGGTGTGCTCGTGAGGGAAGAGCCTTTCCCTCCTCATCACTCAGTGTAGTTGTGGGGGAAAGAAGGGGGAGTCCATGGGGGCACCAGGTAGTGATTTCTCATTTCCCTGAAGAGGGGAACGGCTGTTTTGGTCTATGTCCCCTCACCTCTAATTTCTGCCTTTTTTTAGGGTCCCTTCCATCCCCGTGGTGTCCAGGACACTTCTGGATTGCCCCTCTCTCTCCTTGCTATGTAAAGACTAAGGATAAGCTGGCATATGGATGGCCAAATTAAACCCCTTTCCTGTTTATATGCCCAGCCCTGAGATTCAATAAGCTGGACCCAAGTGAATTTTGTCTCCCTGCTCTGCTGGGCTCTGAAGTGTCCACTGCTACAGCATTATTGCCTCATATTTTTACCTAGTGAAAATGCATCTGTAGTCTCCATTGCTGTAACTTGAAGGTGCTATAATTTAGATGATTACAGTTTGAAACATTATTTATCTTGGTCCCTAGATTAGCAATTGTTGTGTGACTTCTCCAAGCTCATAGGAATTTCACAAGCCATTGGCTTATTTTCTCATTAAACCTATGCAGTGGTTCATTAGTGCCATCTGTCAAGTACCCTCTTTGGCAAAGATTGTTCTCTGAAGAGTAGTGCTAGCTGCTCATGCTGAACAAATTTAAAGGGCCTCCAATAATGTGCATATTGGGGTACAACACTGGGGTTATGTTAGTGCTGATTTGGTGAGATGTTAACATCCATAATCAATGTGAGTTTCATAGCTCAACATCTCTGGAAACAGGTCGTGTTTAGAGCTGTGCATTTAAACCATAAGGTAAAAAAAATCCCAACAAAAACTGTTGTACATTTTTAAATGTACAGAGCTAGTATGTGACATGTTTCTATTTACCCATTTTGAGGGCTGTGTTCATCATTTTTCCTAATATGCAGTGCCTTAGTAGGGTGATGGAGCACTAAAAGCAGCATTTGATTGAGGACTTTTATTAAACTCTGTTCCCGGTTGCATTGCAGGCAGCCCCCAGATTCTACCGAGTGTAGAATTTCATTTCATAAATTTCCCCTTAATCCGTTCCTCTCCCTGCCCCCCCTTTCTGGTATTTTATAGGGTCAGTTTGACGGAGTGTTGGATGAAGACACTGTGGCTGAGGGTCTCCACAAGCTGGGGCGCTCAGCCTCTGGTATCGAATACGTTTATCTTAATCTGTCGCTTTCAGTAAGTATAAGCAAAGAACATCATTATAAAGTGCTTCTCTGCTCGAAGGTTTCCTCTTTTTAACAGCAAATGGTTGGTTAGCAATAGTAAAAAAATTTCAAGACACAGATTTTTGTCTTTACCTGTCAATGCCGTTTCACGTACATGAGAGTTTTGACAAGATACAGCATGGCTCCTGCTGACAACTGCCATATCGGTATGTTTTTTTTTCACTTAGTAGCAACAGCAGTAAGATTTTTCCTTAGCCGGTCTTCGGGTGTGAAAACGTACCTTCCTGCTTCAGCCAGCTGGAGAAAAAATAGAGGAACATGCTAAACACCTGAGAATGCTGCATTTATTGTCCCTTCAGAAAGTTAAAATGGTTGTGTCTTTTTAAAGATTACTTGCTGCCGCTCCCTTTTCTATGCAGCCTTGTTTTTCTGGCATTTTTCCTAGCTACAGCTGTCTCTCCTGGTTGTGTTTTAAAGTCTTCTTTTGACATTTTCTCCATTCATGGCTCGTCTGCAGGTCTAACATCACTTTCTGTATATGTCATCCTGTTCTGACACATCCAGCTGGAGGGACCCTGGGGCACCTCTTCAATGTCTCCTGCTACTGTGTATCTCTTGGGAGAGCGGGTGAGGTTATACAGCTAGTTATTAAAGTCTCTTTGCTTTGTTTTTCCAGGGTCGTGAGTTAAGTGACATTAACATTCTCTCCAGATACGTTCACCTACAGAAGTTGGAACTTTCATATAATAAAATTAATGGTATGTAGTAAATACACTAGTAAATTCTTGGGTTGTGAAATCATTTAAGATGAGAAATGCACTGTACCATGTAGCTTTAATATCACAAAGCCTGGATTACATTTTAATGGTGTAACTACTCCAGCTCTACAGACTGAGGCAATGGCTAGATCTTCTTGAGAATGATGTATGGACCGTTCAGACAGCCGCACCAGCATATGCTTATCAGACAGAAACATGGAGATTATTGTCCAGTTTATTATCCAAAGATAAAGTGCAAGAAAGCATGTCAATACAAGATTAAGGTTGAGATTTTACATGTGCAGATGTCATAATATTTAAAGTTATGTCTGGTACAGTTTTGCCAGCCTTGGGCTTTCCTATGTCAAGGTTTCCCATTGGTGACAAAATGTAAAAAAAGTTATCCTGGATTTAGAAGGTAACAAATGGAGACCAGGGTAAGCTCCATAATCTTCTACTCCTTCCCTCTCCTTCGTACTCCCCAACTCATTTTTTAACTTAACAGCAAAAGGAATAAGCTGTGATGGCAGCCTGTTGCATTATTTCTTTCAAGTTCATTTCACTGGAGGTGCTGGAGTCCAATAATAGCAGCACATTTGTAAGGCAGCACTTCTCCGTGGTCATTTTGCTAATATTTTGTCTGTGAAGGCTAGGTCTGTACAGAGCAGGGACTTTTCCATAGCAACTAGTCATTTCGTCTTCACTAGTAGCCTAAATACTTTTCTCCACTAATTAATAACTTAGGACAGAGGTAGTCTCTCTGTCATTCTAGAGGTAGCTAGCATATAAAACTATATTCTGGCTTATAGACAAATCAGTGGACATAATGGAAGTTTAATGTAGAACTTGAATATTTACTCTTCGTGGTTTAGAAACCATCTTTTTTTCTCATAGATTTTATTATATCTGAATTCTGCATTTCAAACATCGCTTTCTGAATGTGTAACTACAAATTGATTCTTGATTGCTATTGGACGTATTATCACATTTTGACATGGTGATTTCTGCATTTACCTATGCATTTATGTACAGGATTTGACATTTTGTTTTTGTTACTAGATCTTTCTTGTATCAGTCACATGCCTCACTTACTAGAACTGAATGCTTCCAACAATGAATTGACTACATATTTTGGTTTTAAACCACCTAAAAATCTCAAGGTAAGTTGCAAAAAATGCATTTTATAGGTTTAAATTCAAAACAGTTTTCTAAATCTAATTTAGATACTGTATTTGGACATGTGCAAAAGCGAATTTTTATGCTTTCCTTATTCTTCTTTCTTACCTCATTTGACATTTTAATAGCTTTTCCAAATGTTTGGGTATTTTACACTGCACATTTCAGTCTTTTATTTTCTTTCACACTCTGAACACTGGGAAGGTATATTATACATGGGAAGGTGTATTTTACAGTTAACTGTTCTAGCCACAGGTAAATATGGCCAGAATTTTTTCCTTGCTTGTCGAATTCATCAGACCTTTAGTGGGATCAGTTCCTGCCTTTCAAATTGACTGATGCCAGTTGTTATTGTGAAACATGTACGTAAAGTGTAGCTGTGTGCTAGTCTTCCCTTTGCTGTTGTTTTCTTGTTGCCCACTTTGGGTTATGAAAAGCAGGAGGTTGTTTTGAAATACGACCTTTATGTATTTCTCTGTCTTCTCTGTTAGTTTTTTAATATGTATGTGTAATTACAGGATCATTAATGATAATGTTGTTGGAAGAAAGTATAGTTTGGGAAGTTCCCAAAATGTGAATCCTATGTGTCATAAAAAAGAGCCTTTCTGTTTATGTCCCAATATTAATATTGATGATCTTCTCATTTCTTCCACACCCTTGATAGGAAGTTTAATGTAACAGCTGTTTAGTTTCACAAGACAGCTGTAAGTGCTGAAGGAAAAAAACTAACTTTCTGTCTCCTTTTTTCTTTAGGAAGTAGATTTTTCATACAATCAAATACCTAAAATGCAAGATTTGTCAGCATACCAGTCACTTACTAAACTCTTGCTGGATTGTATCCTTTATGGAAACTTGAATGGGAGAAAAGTTGCTTGTTTGCTTTCTGAACAGCTCTTTGCTTCAAATAGATACCTGTTTTCTTTGTATTTTTCCTTCGTGTCAGTTTTGTCTTTAGAAGCAAGATTAAACACTGTAATTCTGGTGGTGAAACTGATCTTAATTTACTCAAGTATGCCTAGTGTTAAAGGTGTTTGTGTGTACATGTAAGGTATTAGCCTGCTAGAGGAACAAAAAAACCCTCCACTTTGCATCATGTAAAACTGAAAAAGTGACATGTCACACTGTCTTTGCATGGCAGAGGTAATAAATAATCCCAGTATTTTTATATAAGAAAGGTTAATAGGAAATCAGCTTGGAATGCTAAGCTCCCTTAAATGAAAAAGGTGCATGTTGTTTAATCTTAGACATAGATAATTACGCAGGTACTATAGAGGCTCTGTGGAGGACAAGGCCGTTTAATAACAATGAAGAGCATGTTTAAGTGAGAGGAAACTTCCTGAAGTATGCTGAGGGAAGTACACAGAGCGAAAGTGTTCTGCTACACACCTTCGACGCTCTCACGGTGGTACCCAGTTTGTGGGATTAGAAACACTGTTCTGGCAGAAATCAGATAAACATGAACCTGCAGATTACGTTTTTTCATTCCTTACTTCTCCAAGGCTGTCCATAGTACTCTTAGTCTCCCTAAAGATTCTCCTATGCTTTTGTGAAAGGCCTCCTGGAGTTTCATGTTGACATGCTGCCTTACTTACAATTGCTTCCCGAGGGCTCGTGAACCTTTCCTCTTTGCCTCATAAATTGCATCTTGATTTTCTGCTTTCTGAAAAGGAGAAGACAGCAGGCTCTTGCAGTTTTTCTCTGTCTCTTGTCCTCGAAGTAGCCCATTACCAAACGATACTAATACAATGCCTTTTTCATGTAGGAGCAGATAAAGCATTTGCAGGGCGTCCAGGTTACTTTATTCACATGTTTTACAAGGTGTGCAGGTGACATGATTCTTGTCAGAAAATGGCATTGAGACACTGTCCCTTTGCAGTTCTAATTTTCCATTGCAGAGCAAAAACCATACAGCAAAATGAAAAGGCAAAAAGATCAGAGATTTGTATTGTGGATCTGAATTAGTATTTTTTCATTTGGTTTCAATGCAGCAGCGTGCTGTCTTCCATTTCTTCATTTGTCAGTGAAGATGCCATTGAAGTGGGGAGAAAAACTGTTTCATGCATACAGTTGCAATGGGACCCTCTGAAATAGAAGAAAATGAGTGCAGAATTTAGAAGTGCAGAATTTAGAATAGCAAAGTGGCGCTGTTCCTAACTCATGTCAAGCACTCCTTGCCGAAGACATGCCAGACAAAACAAGCTGTTCTTTGTAATCGTAAATGAAAATACTATATTAAATATCATGCCGTAGCAGAAATGTTTGGCATGCATTTCTTGTTGACAGTAACTAACTATTTCTTAGGATATTTAAGTGAATTATGATGCAGATGGTAAGGTCATTGTAACTTTTTCCTGACAGGTGCACACACAAGCACACCTGACAGGATTATAAATGAGTTTTCAAGGAGGACATTGTCCAAACCAGAAAGGGAGACAGCTTGGGCAATAATATTTGACAAAGCATTATAGTGAGTCATTAAAAGACTAAAACTGATTGTATTAGTTTTTAGTGCTGAGCAATTTGCTGCCTCATATTGATGCTTATGGCTTAAACAATATTTTTTCCTCGCCAAAACTTTTCCTCCTCAGTTGAAAGAGAAGCAGTCCCATTTTCTATGCAAATCAATGAATATCTGTCAAATATCAGTGCCTGTGGATGGTTTTGATTTCTTTTCTAAATGACAAAGAGCCTAGTGTGAGGTCCTATGAAAAGATAAATCTGTGCTTACCAGTTCATTTCTCCTCCTCTCTTTCCCCATCTAGGCCTGCGAGTATAGAACTTAGGTAGTGTACAATTAAATCCTTATGTAGGAATGCAGTTAGGAAAAAAAGAGAGTTAGGTCACAGCTATTGAAGAATATTCTGTTGGCCCAGAATAAGCTTACATTTTGTTTGGTTACAATATCATTCAGACTGAGAGAAAAAAATCCTGATAATTTGTCCACTGCCTGGTAAGACTAGAAACGTGAATGAAAACTCATTTGCCCCTCTTCGCAGGCAGAGTTCATTCTCTCAAGTCAATGAAAAATATTTTCTTTTGTGATTGCCTAAAGGCATTTCTCTGTGTCCTGCATGTTCTGGCTATTTTTTTCAGTTATATTTCTTGGTTTTTCATTTAACTAGTTCCAGCTTGGACACTTACAATACGAGTGCAATTCTTTTTGCCTAACTTCAGTCACCAAACAATTAGATGCCTGGATCAGAGTTATCTGATTTCGGTACATTGGAGTTATAGAGAGTCAGGTACCTCTGCAGTTCATCCCATTTTAAGAGAGCAATCTGACATAGCTTGTCGTCAAAGGAAACTTGCTTTGTTTAAGTAATCTGGATAGTTATGTTAATGCTGAAGTTTGCCGAGAGGAATCCTAACTACTTTTACTGCTGCTTTTGAGTTTAATGTTCGTTTAAAATACACTTTCCCCTTTCAGTACAGATGGCCAGTATAGAACAGGTATAATTTAGAGTGAAATAGCCCCATATAGTACAATCGTCTGTTATTACTTGGATAATTTGTGTATAATGCTTGGAGGTCAAGGTCAGTTTGGAGCCATGTTAAGTACTCCGTAAACGTAAGAAGATCCTGCCTTCCTCTGATGACTCAGCCATGTGCCTGTATTCTACAGCTGACCTAACATGACTGGTGCCCAGTTAAAGTTAAAGGCGTAAAGACCCCTATGTTTTAGCTTGTGCATATGCATCCGATGAGAAGATCAGAGATTTACAGCATAGTTTTGCAAGGTGCTGGCAAAGTAGTTCTTTCCCCACACTGCTATTCCCTCATTTCCGCTACTTTCTCGATTTGCCATCAGCCTGGTTATGCCAGCTTGAAGGGCTGCGCTGTAAACCAGGTCACAGAAACTATCTGAGTTAAAAGCTCCTCCAAAAAGGAGGGGAGGATATTTCTAGTTGAATCAGTGCCGCTTATCCTGCAGCCCTACAAAAAGTTATGTCAGTCAAACAAGGAGGCAGTAAGCTCCAGAAAGGGGTGGGTGTGAGCAGCTGGGATTTTAAACTACTTAGCACGAAGCATTTGATATCCAGCTCCCCTTACCATAAAATTCAGCTCCATTGCTAATTTAGCTACTAATTATTGCTAAGGTTTTGTGTTCAGTTATTTTCCTTAAATGCAAAAACCTCTGTATAGTTAATAACATAAAGGAGATAAGAGGACTAGAGAAGTGTCACAGTCTGACTCATCTTAGTTTGTCACACAACAGACTCATTGCAATCAGTGGCCTTGAGAATTTACCTATCAGAATACTCAATCTGGTAAGAAAGACATAATTCTAGTTGTTTTCCTGTCTGTCTTTTATCTATATATTAATAAACGTGAAGATAATTACATAACAAATTTTCAGAGCTATGTGTAATACTGGACACTTTTTTTTTATTAATACAGGATCGTAGAATGATATAGGTTAGAAGGGAGCTGTGAAGGTCATCTGATCCCGTGTCCTGCTCAAAGCAGAGCCATCTTCCGTGGAGGTGGCTTAGGGCCTTGTCCAGCTGGGTTTTGAATTTCTCCAAAGATACTTTGCATTTGGTCTGGGTAGGCTTTGTTGTTGCTTAGGTGATGTGTAAGAAGTCACTTACTGTGCAAGTCCCACAATAAAAACAATGAAGATTTTTTTTAAAAAGTACATTTCCTCGTAAAGCTGTGTTCATGATAGCAGTGAGCTAGGACAGGAAAGGGAAAGCGAGGACTAAGAAGCCTGCATTCATTTTGAAAAACAAGTCAAGTTTAGTATGCAAATCTGATACATTATTAAAGGATCTTTGTTTAATTTTTTAAGGATCTTGTAATGAGATTGGAAGCTTTAAATTGTCAGCTTTTTGTCAAGATATCTAGGGTATATTTGTTTAAATACAACATTTCTAGGTTATATTTCTAGATGCTTTAGCGGGTTTTATCTTATCTGGCTTCAGATTTCTGCAGCATAGACAACCGCACGTGAGCTAGTTGTTCTCTGCTGCCTCAAAATTCAGTGGAGAGAAATGGACACTTAAAATACTTCATTATTCTAATCCAGCTGCTGACATCTACATTAATACAAGATGCATCAGGCCTTGCAAGTGCCTGTTTCTCTCTGTTGGTTATGAAGATAGCCAAGGATAACTAGCCCAAATATAGACCTCTATTTGTCAATGCCTACACTTGTTTGCATGCATCTTGCTCTTTTACAGGTCTTGGGAAGGCATTTATCTCAGTGTTCCTCAGTTCCATGTTTGTAAAATGTCCTTAATAATACCAACGCTTTCTTCTAAATCATTTTGAGATACTCAATATAGAGGTTGCGCAGAAACACAAGCAAAAACTATTTTTAATGCAGTTCAGTTGGTATAAAATACAACAGACTACTTCTTAATAGGTTTTACTTTGTAATAATAATTTAAAAAATATTTAATGGGATTTTAAAAATAAGTACCAAAAAACTATACATAGAAATATGCTCATATTTGCTACACTATTTTTAAGGACCTACATAAATATTTTAGGTAAAGCGAATGAATCCCTTATCAAAAATAGAAATATTCTTTTCCAATCCTTTTAAAATTTTAAAGATTTTTCTTCTGTTCTGTAGTAATTGATATAGAAAAGAGTAACTAAGGTCTGCACCCATCAAGGCCCGATTGGCCCTTGTACTTATTACTGCTTTGATATTCAGGAAAGGTATTCACATTTAAAAGTGGGCAGTAGTATGTTTTGAATAATATATTCAAATAGTGTTCAGTAACGTATTTTTAATATACTTGTATTTCAGATATATAATGCTTTTAGTAGCTTCCAGTTATGCCCTTAGTGGCAATAAAACTGAATTTTGTCTCATTTTTAGTGGATAAGATTAATTCAGATTGGCAAAATCATGTCTAAAAGTTCTGAAATGAACTATGGGAGTATGACAATCTAAGCTGACAGGAAGATCTTTTCTCAAAATGCTTTCTTCAGGGAGAACTACAGTAAGTCGGTCAACCATTGTGTGCCCTGATTTCCTCATCTGTTAAAAGGCCTAATAATAATTCTGTTAGTAATGGTTATCTGCTCTGTAAAATGTTTTGGAGGTTGTGTTAACAGCTAAGCCTTATTAACATGAACATGTTCTTCAGTTTTGGTTCTTACATGCTGATATGATTATTTATACAACTGTGTCCCTGCTTGTCTTTTTTAATTAGCAAAGTAGATAGTCATGTGGAAATTATGTAAATAGACAGATTTTAGCATAGCATTTTCTTTTACTAATTAGAATAAAATGCAGTTCTTTTTTCATGGGAGCAGTCATCTCCTCTCTTCCCATTGATTCGGCTTTCTTTTCCATTTTCCCTTGAGCTTTTTAGGTTGAATGAGTAGTAAGATCTGAAGTTTGGAAGAAAGGCTTCAAAAACTGTAAATACTGCCTAGCTATACCAAAAAGCCTTTATTCTGCTTATGTTTGCAAAAAATAGGAAGTGCAGCTCTAATGAACTGGACTCTTAGGAATTTTATGCTTTGCAAAAAAGGATCTCTACACAAATCCCTCTTGTTCACAGAATTTTGCATGCACCTCTTGCATAGCATTTTGCAACTAGAGCTCTGAGCTGTATCCTATTAAACGGAGGTCTAACGAGGAACAGGAAGAGAAGAGGGAGCCTCCATGCTATTAATAACCTAATTAAACATTTAAAAGTCAGGAAAAATGTCAAGGACAGACAACTGGATTAACATTAGAGTCAGCTGGCTTATTTATTTCAACAGTTCCTAAATATTTATTAATAGAATATGAGGCTTCTAAGCTTTCAGCACAAGGTGATGCTGATGGAAAAATATAACTTGCAAGGTTATACAAAAAGAATCATGTTGAGAGGCCATCTGGGTACGTGTGGCCACTGGGACAAAGATGAGTACAGAACCTAGCATGTTATACCTATTTGGAGTTCGTAGCAGAAATGAGTATATGATTTGTGAGGCCCTGAGAAATGAAGCCATCTGGTGTCCAGTGATAAATGTAGGTCTTGTATCTTGTACCTTGTTTGGAAGGAATATAAAACAATGATAGCTGGTTATGAGTTCTCAAAAACTTGGGTCATTTCTTGTGTTGGAGTCTAGATGAACTTACAGTAAGGTGGGTTTGTTAGGTTTTTTTGTTGTTTTTTTTTTTTTTTTACTGTGCTTGCTGTCACTGACAGTAAATGAAGTCTGCCTTCACTTAGTATGCATTAAGATGAAATTGTGTGTCCTAGAGATATTTTTAGAGACTGCCTGTAGTCCAAAGAAGACAGTACTCTATTGTTCTACCTTAATATTTTCATTATTTATTCTGTAATCATAAGTCTAAATATAACCATGATTACAGAGGGAAATTCTATGTATTTATGTATATATATTCTATAATTTTATGTGCATACCTGTTTTCTAAATTTTGAGTTGGATAGTGACAAGAGTATCCTTTAGCCAGTATCATCTTTAAAAGAATGCTAGAGCTCTCTTTATTGCTCTTGTCTCTTGCTGCTATTCAAGGTGAGTTTAAAGATAAGTTAATCAGAAGATAGTTGATTCTTTTTTCCTTGAGCAGTATGGAAAGCTGTAATATGTCATCGCAAGATGAAGATGGGGCTAATGCATAAAAGGCCTATTTGTAATAGGATTCTCAATAATAAAGTGAACTCTCTTCTTCCTGAGGAATGTAGTTTTCCATCTGTAGAACTTTATCAACAGTTTATATGTTTTCATTTCTTCTTAGAGCTCTAACCAGATTGAAAAGATAACTGGGTTGGACAGCTTGAAAACTCTACAGAAGCTGGACCTATCTAGCAATAAAATAACTAGTCTAGAAGGCTTGGAGGAACATGATCTACTAGAGATGATCAACCTAGAGGATAACCAGGTAGCATATTTAATATTGATCTCAGCTTTTTCTAAGAATGCAGGATTTTTTTTTTTCTAAAATCCAATCCCTTTAAGGCTTAATCAAAAAAATCTCACAACACTGCAAGAAATTAATATTAGAAAAGATGACATTTTTTCCTTTGGTATTTCACTCCAATGCTGTTTCACATGTTGATTGATAGTGTACTCCTCAGGCCTTACTTAATATCTCTAGATGGGTTTATCTTTATGTAGGTATCACTCCTGTAGTATTTAGTGCTCACGTACATAAAGAACTAACAGTGCTCCCTTGAGTGGATAAAGATAGGGATGAGTATGCAGCTTTTTCAGCTTGATTATTCTTGAGGATCTTTACTTACATCACAGCTTTTCTACTGCCAGGCCTCAGGAGGGTTTGCTAATATCTCTCAGCCCAATTTTATGACCACAGATTTTTCTGAGCTCTCAGCTGGAAACTTCCTGTAAGGCAGAACTGCATGTACTCTATTATAAAGTGGCTTCTGTTATGCAGCAGAATTTTCGCTGGAAGTACAATGATAAAATCCAACTCATTTGTATTTGAATTTTGAAACTCAACCCATATATACATAATACTTTTGATACTGAGCTTCCAGGGTCCTTAACTGAACAGACTGTCAATTCATGAATCATTTTGACATCAAAGACAGATCTGCATGTGAAAAAAAATCTAAGAAAATAAGAAATAAAAATATAAACCAGGAATTGAACATTTTCTGTCATTTTTCCCCACTTGCAAGATACGTTTACAGGATTTAATTCAAGACACTATGAATTCTTTTTCTCACACTGTGTTCAAGTTGACATTTAAAGGTACATCAATTGCACAAGACAGGAAACTATCTAATAGTATGGTTGCTATTAGCATTAATAACACCACTTCCATTGCCTCATATAGTTTCCACTATTCTTTATGGCACGCAAAAGCTATTAATTTTACCTCATCAAGATTTGCCTCTTTTAATGATGTTATTGAAACTGTTTAATGAGTCACCATGTTTTGAACATTTCCTTCTGAAGAATAATTTAAAGAGAATTTTAATTAATTAACACAGAAAGATCTGAGTTACTTCAAGCTCACTACCACCCAGAATGATCTTAAATGCTTGATTTTTCAAAAATGGGCACAGTAGGTTTATCTGCAAACCATGTCTCTCATATACACGTTCAGTGATTTTCAAATGTTGGCTGTTGGCATTCTATGATTTATTTAGGAAATCCACCCAAATGACATTTAACTTGGTCAAAACTGTTCCATGGTGGGCTTCTTGTTATCTCAAAATGAGTATTGGGTAGGCTATGGTTGAGGTTTATGTTTTTAGACACTTTACATAAGCTGAGTGTAAGTTAAGGATAGAATGTGAAGTCTTCTAGGTCCAGTCTTTCAGCAACAGAGGAAAAACAGGTATCCTTACAAGGCAATTCATCCCAGCCTACCGTGGATCAGATGACCTCTGGAACTGCCTCTCTCTGCTGATTATAAAGTGAGGTTAAGTGACTGACTTCTGACTTGGTCTAACTTAACAGATGGCTAAAATGAGGCAACATGAATTCCACTTGACCCATTTTGTTTTAATTGAGAGCCTTGCAACTGTTCATTCAGGGTCTAGCACAAGTGCCTCTAGCGTGACTTTGCTTTGGGCACACAAACTTTGATTAATCCCACATAAGTTCTAATGCTTATCTGATGTGCCTGAGTGCAGCCAACCCAGGTTTCCTTTGTGGATAGGTGAGACCTTAAGTGCGTCACCCTCTGGACACAGACAGCCAAGGACAACTATGCTGATGCTTTTCAATCAGGTGCTGCAAGTTAGGTATGATGAACTTGAGCTCAGTGAAAAGAAACTCTTCTTAGACGGGATTTTTTTTCGCTAGTCTACTGAAGCACAAATATAACTGCAGAATTGCCTCACTTAGCCGCATCAGCCACATAAAAGCTAAATGTGTTAGGGCTTGACATTTGAAAGAACTGGGGAAGTGCAGGTGGTTTGAAATTGCTGTCTGTATTATCCTGCTTCTCCACTAACCCAAGTTGTCTGCCTTTTGTGACTAGAAGTGCCTTACTGAATGCAGTTAACATGTATACCCATTTTGTGAGTATAATGAATTTTTTTACATCCAGATTTTAAGAGCAGGGATTAAAATACTTTCTTTTTTCCCATAGTTATCATGGATTCTGTAGCTGCTGATTTATGCTCTGTTTCTGTCACTAATTAGATTGCTGAGCTGCGTGAACTTGAATGTATTGAAGATCTGCCTCTCCTCAGAGTTTTAAATCTTTTGAAAAATCCTGTACAGGTAAGAAAGAACTAAAGAGGAAGCCAAAAATAAGAACCTAGAACTGCTATTTTGGATCACACAGAATCCATTTAGCCTCAGTTTCTATCTCTGAGAGTGGCCAGGTCATTTCAGGTAACCAGTACAAGAAATGATGAGTGATGGTTTCCCTGGCATGGTTACCCACCTTTGTCTGGGAACTTTGTCTGAACCAAAGCTGCATATGAATCGTGATGTTTAATATCCACGTAGTAAATCCATGAGTTTTATTAATTGCATTTGTGAATCCATTTATGCATTTGTACTCGCAGTATGCCATGATTTTTGTTTGGGAAAAGATTCCCTTTTTGTTTGCTTTGAAGGTCTGTACTCGATTGTTCCTGGGAAAAGCTCAAAGGAACTTAATAGCTTTTAAAATAAATAGCTTTTAAACTAAATAGCTTTTAAAATCATGTGTCTCTGGAATCTGTATCTTCCTTTCTCCTTTAAGATTTACTCAGTTCTCATTTATGGCTCCCATAATATTCCTTAATTAATGAATTAAACATCCATTTTATCAACAGCAATGACATTTGCAAAATATCAGAAATTCTGACTTTGACTCTGCATTTGTAATTTGTCCTGAGTGATCAAAAGTGATTCTATCCTGACTTCTGTGATTTCTAAATTATGTTTAAATTTTACAGTGATTTCCAGTGTCAGAGAGAAGAAAAATGTTAAGGGTTTAACTTCTTCTTTCTGTAATTGCTAGTTTTGTGTTGACTTTCGTGAGAATGGTCTGTCGTGACACACCATGAAATTAGCGTGAAAAAATACCCTTAATAGGCTGCCCCTGGTCATCCGTAATCTGAAAGCCTTTTTCTGTTTAGGTGTCCTCCCCCTAAGCAAAGTCTGATCCAATTACTGTTTTAATAACTTATACATGCAACAATCATCTTAAGACAGCTGTCTGAATTTCAGTTGTTTTAACAGGACCTTACTGGTTTTAGAACTAAGGAGCTTCATGAACTTGTCAGTGTCAGCTTTTTAATTTGATTTTTAGTTATTATTTTTTATTGTCGCAGACTTAAAAGCGTATATGATGATGAATTTATAATACAGATTCTCTTTTACAGTTCCTACAGTACTACTAAGGTCAGAAGTATTAACTGTAGTTTATAGAATCTTTTAGGTTGGAAAGGACCTTTAAGATCATCAAGTCCAACCATAAACCTACCACTGCCAAGTCCACCACTAAACCATGTCCCTAAGTGCCACATCTGCATGTATCTTAAATACCTCCAGGGATGGTGACTCAACCACTTCCCTGGGCAGCCTGTTCCAATGCTTGACGCTTTTGGTGAAGAAGTTTTTCCCAATGTCCAGTCTAAGCCTCCCCTGGCACAACTTGAAGCCATTTCCTCTCGTCCTATCTCTTGTTACTTGGGAGAAGAGACCAACCCCCACCTCGCTACAACCTCCTTTCAGGTAGTTGTAGAGCGCGATGAGGTCTCCCCTCAGCCTCCTCTGCTCCAGGCTAAACAGCCCCAGTTCCCTCAGCTGCTCCTCATAAGACTTGTGCTCCAGACCCTTCACCAGCTTCGTTGCCCTTCTCTGGACACGCTCCAGCACCTCAATGTCCTTCTTGTCGTGAGGGGCCCAAAACTGAACACAGGATTCGAGGGGCGGCCTCACCAGGGCCGAGTACAGGGGCACGATCACCTCCCTGCTCCTGCTGGCCACACTATTTCTGATACAGGCCCGGATGCCGTTGGCCACCTGGGCACACTGCTGGCTCATATTCAGCTGGCTATCGACCATTTATTAATTGTATTATATTACGATTATTACGTAATTCCAGTATAGATAATGCTTTTGGTTCTCCAACAGTCTTGCTTGGTGTTCTAGTGGGTATGGTGGTGATTTTTAAATTCCCATCTTGACCTTTTGAACAATGTATTGCAGACTTTTGAACAACTATTAGCTTTTGTTGCAGAAGCTAAGCTTGTGGTGGGAGGTCAATTTGTACAGTGTATTGACATCCTTCAGGATAAAAAGCTTTTTATGTTGCAATGTATTAAGGCCAATTTAATTTCAACCGATTGAAAGTAAGTATTAGATTAATGAAGTTAAGTATTTTATGTCAAAGTGGAAACTTTGTCCTTCAGGAGCAAACAGATTATTGGCACTCAGTGATTTTCACGTTGCTCCAGCTAACAGAACTGGATCTCAAGAAGATTTCAGTGGAAGAAAAGGTATGTAAACATCATATCATTCTGGACTTTTTCTAAATAAAGAATATAAAAAATTGTGCATGCAAATGTAGCTTTGTAGTCATTTGGGTGCGACAAATCTCCTATGTTTCAGCCCCCAAGATAGGCTACAAATGCAGAGACTTTTGCTTTTAAATCCAGATATATATCTACAGAATTTCTGGAGCAGTTGTGTATGTAAAAATGCAAAGCTTACCTAAAAGCTTTGTTCAGTGAAGAAATTTATTTAGCAGCCGTTGTTACTCAGCTAGTGAATCTAAACAGGCAACTACATTCATTAAATACTCTTAAGTGGTAACCACTGTGCTACTTTTAAAATACCATTGTTGGGTTTTTTTAGTGTCATGTACGGCAAAATGAACTCTGAAAGTAATGATGATGCTTGTTTCCCATTCTACTCTGTACAGCTTTCACTGTAAAATCTTCTCCCAAAAAAAACCTGCTCAGACTGCTTACAGTAACTTTCTCTTGTAATAGAAACCTTTCCCTCTTGTGCCGTAATTTTACTGTAATTTGGTTGCTGCATGTAGTATTTGGGCTTAAGCCATGCTAGAACTGTTAGGATTATCAGATGCCAATTGGGGTTGGATTTCAGGGAATTATCTTTTAAAAATGATCCTTACAAGAAATTCATCACTCCCAACTTTAGCTGCATAAATATTAGGGTTCTTGTTTAATGCCAAGCTCTCTCTATCATGAACACAGAGAAGGAATGATACCAGAGCGTAATTTACCCCACCTACCCAAGATGTTGGTCTTACTCTTTGTCTTATGTGGCAATCTGTTTTCCTTCCAGTAAAATTTTGAATATATTACAGAAATTTTTCCTTCTCTATGGACTGTAAAAGTAAACCTGATGACTGATTTAGACTAGCACTTAACTTTTGCATGATTAGTTATTTCAGAAAATCCTCTCCTCAGGTTATTTTAGGACATCTACTCTAGCCTCGTAAACTCTCTTGTCAAACTGAATTTGGAGGCAGCAGCTCTTCTGTCTCACTAACACACAAAATGGATATAGAGAAATGTTGTAGTTCAGATCAGAAGTGTGGTTGTGAAGTGAAACTCCCTGTTGCCCAACTTGCCATGCTTGATTCTCGTTGAGGAATAGTCTTGCAACATATGAACTAGACTTCTTTTGGACTAACCTTAACCAGATGATGTGCACCAGGATGCACCTAATGCGCTCCTAGCCACTAATTCAGATCAAAGGACCAAACTAGAGCTAAAGTGAAATGAGCTCCCTTCCCTCATTCCCCCCAAAATACTGTGGACATTGGGTCCCGAGTACTGAATGTTTTGTTTTAAAGATCCACTCCTATTGCATCATACTACTTGCTAATATAGGCATGGCTGTCGTCAGAGCTTATGGCAGTATTTTGCAGCAGTGTCAGCTAGCTGGTATTTGATGGTTTACATGAAATGACTCAGTAGTTCTTAACCTGTTTCTGAGTGGGTAGCATTAATAATACCAAAAAATATACAACTCATTAGCGGTCAGTACCCTCAATAGAGCTTTCAACAGAATGGATGGAGGGAATCGTTGGAGTTTGACTGCTTTTCCTCCCAGGAAAAACAGAAATGCATGGTCAGGAGAAAACTGCAGTTTGCTTGCTTTGTTAATGCCCATTCAGTTCCTCTTCTGACGAATAAATGAATGGCTTCAGTCCCTAAGGATTTTAGTTCGGCATCTTCCACCAGCACTGAGAGGATGCAAATTAATGGATAATTAAAACCTAAGCAAAATTACTTTGCATCTTATGTGGCATCCTGTTTTCTTTCCAGTAAAAGGTTGAATATATTAAAGATAGTGAGCTACGTCTGGCTGCCTTCCATCCATCTATCAAATTGTGCTTAAATCCCCGAAAAGATTTATGTAGTGGAGTGCTCACAGACAACCCAAATACAAAGGCTGACCCTCATAAATATGAAACCATCATTATTCATAGTCATCTGTGAAGCATATTGCAGCTGGAAACAATTACATCACCTCTCTTCTTTCCGCTCTTCTTTCTTTTGCCCCTAAACTGTGGAAACAGGTTGCTGCTGTGAATAAATACGATCCTCCTCCAGAAGTTGTTGCTGCTAAAGATCATATGACTCATGTTATGTATAGCGTGCTGCAGCCCCAGAGAATCTTTGACAGGTAAGCTTACCTCCACTTCACGTCAGCTCCTGAGGGTGGCACTCAAGTAAAGCAGAATTTGTTGTCGTATTTAGAGGGACATTTTTCTGTCCCTCTCCTACCTTTAAATTAATCTAATGAGGAAGAGACATTCCACAGTATTCTGGTAGCAGTCTGGAAATTAGGCAAATCTTATTTAGTTGAAATTGATTATGAAATGAAGCTAGTCATTCACCTCTAAAGTCTGAGACAGATTGTCCACAGCTCCATTTCTTTTAAACAATCTGTTGAAACAGATGGCCATTTGCACCATAAATGAAAGATGCAAAATTTCTATCAATACCCAAAGGCAATTTAAAAATCTCTAGAGGGAGAAGAGGGCTGTAAAACATATCTTCTTCCTATTCTGCTTACTCCTTCTCTTCACACTATTGGCATCCCATTGCGAGCAAAATGGCTTTATTTTGTGGCTTTGGGGCACATTTATATTCATAAGGTGAAATTTTCAAGTTTGTACTTAGGCAGAAGTAGCTGGACTTCCCTTCGGGAGGAGGTGATGCTGACTGCCACTTAAAAGCAGAAAAGGGAGAGGCAAATCAATGTTTTTTTTCCAATGTTGCCATTGCTATGCCAGGTGACTTCTCTTAGTCTCATTTCTCATCTAGAAAATGGAAATAGCCGTACTTTGCTGCTCTGCAGATGTGTTACAATATTTGCTTGATGAATGCTTGGAAAATGCTTTGACATACTCTGATGAAAGATACTATGAAATATATGTGGTTTATTATTGTATTGGCTACAGTGGGCACTGAGATCAACTTTTGTGCCCCACACCCTGTTTTAGCACTATTTTGGACATCTTAATTCATAATGAGTAACCTAATTTAAGATCCATGATTTAGTAACTCAGAAATCTATATTTTTAGAATATCTTTATTGCAAGTCTTGTGGTTTCTGGGATTGTCGATGAAAGACAGGAACCATCTCAGTGGTGATGATAGCTCCGACAATTCTTAACAGCCTATTAAAAAAACCCCCGAAGATTTATTTACTGTTTTGCAGTGTTAGAGATTTCTTTTTAAAAAAAAAAAAAAGCGCAATAGTTTTACCTAAAGGCACGGATTTCTTCCAATGCAGGCATAGGCTTTATTTAAATATATGTTTGTTGGATTGTGTATGTGTATTTTCATTGCTGGAAAGAAACAATTCTGTCTTCTATAAGAGGTATTGTATACACAAACACATAAACATGCAGACCAGCATTTATGGTACTGACCAAAATTGTTAATGATGCTTTGAATGTTTGCCCATGCTCAGCTGGAAAGCACATAACACAGTCATTAATGAAATCTTCCTAATGATGATGTGTTGCAAGTCTTCTACACTATAAAGTGCTTATTGGAACCAGATTGGTATAGTTCATTTGCATCTATATTTTTAGATGAGATTATAATTAATTCTATTTTAGTAACATCTCTATTAAAAATAAAACCTGAAAACAAAGCAAAAAGTTGCATTGTTGTATACTCCGCAGTCAGAAAACATTAGCATGAAGTTTCTTATGTCATTCCCTCTCTCTGTGTGCCTTGTGATTCTATCTTTAATTACATGGTAACACACCACTGAACAACATTATGTGTGTTTTTCCCCTACTATAAATGCATGTGACATTTAAAAAGGGAGCTTGATCATAGTTATAACTGCTACATGGGGAGCAGAAACTTAATAACAGAGGGCTCTTCAGTCTATTGGGCAAGTACATGACGAGACTTGGTATCTGGCTGTTGAGGATAAATTTATTCAGAGAAGAAATAGAGCATGATTATTTTTAACAATGAAGGTAATTAACCATTGGAATGATTTACCAAGGGTACCAAGAAGTCTCCACAACTGGAACGTTTTTAATTAAAATATGCTCTAATGGAACCTCAGGTATCAGGCTTGAAACAAGAACTAACTCGGGGAAATCCTGTTGCCAGTGTGTTGAGGGGACTCTGAGTAGATGATCACAGTAGTCCCTTCTGGCCTCGAAATCTGTTAATCTTGCACAGCAGTGTATTACTGTAGTCGCCAAAGACAAAGAAAGTTGAAAGATGCACATTAAACAAGCCTAGAACTCTTTACAAGATACTGCTTACAAGTTGTAGGAAAACCAAAACTTTAATTTATCTTTGGAGAACCAGTAAGTGGAGATGTAAAGAAAGATAGTATTATGGAAATGTTCTCCTGTTCTTCTGATGAAATAATAAATCCAAGGAATTTGGGGATATGAGGAATTTGAGCAATGGAAATCTGTTCAAGGAAATTTGAATTCCGAGTATATTCATGTAAGGTAATGATATATTGTATCATTGCTGGATATAACACTTCCTTGTAAAAGAAAAGATTACAGAGGAATTCTGCAGTTTGCAAGCATGTAACAGGTTCTGTGCATGGAGAAGGAATATATTAAAACTATGTTGAAGATAAGGGTTCTGTCTTCACAGACCTGCCTTAACATCATTATTCACGAAGGGCACAGCCTTGAGCAAGAATAAGAACCTTTCTGCTACGTCTTGATAAATTTTGAATCTCTAGTCACTAAGCACGTTTTGTGGAATTCCCATTTTTGAAATTGTTCATTTATAATAATGCACTTGTAGTATTCACAATTGTCACTAGTACCTCCTAGTATCCCTAGTAGGGATCACATTGTCTTGAACTGGTCTTTTCCTTACCACAAATGTCAGAAAAGGCGAAGACAATCTGAACAGCTCAAATAATCAAGAGAGGAGGAAGATATTTCTTGAATTGAACAGAATGTCACAACCTAACAGATTCAGATAAGGATTTTTAAAATGTATTTTTGCCTTCTCCAGTATTTTTAATGTATTGTGCTGTTGTGGTTTAACCTGACAGGCAGCAAACACCACACAGCCGCTTGCGCACTCCCCCCCACAGTGGGATGGGGAAGAGGATCAAAAAAAAAAAAAAAGAAAAATTTGTGGATTGAGATAAAGAACAGAAAAGGAAGGGAAAATAATAATAATAATAATAATAATGGTAGAATATACAAAATGAGTGATGCACAATGCAATTGCTCACCACCCACCAACCAATACCCACACAGCGATCGCTACTTCTTGGACCATGCCTCTTATTTATATACTGAGCATGACGTCATATGGTATGGAGTACCCCGTTGGCCAGTTGGGTCAGCTGACCTGGCTATGCTCCCTCCCAGCTTCTTGTGCACCTGGCAGAGTATTGGAAGCTGAAAACTCCTTGACAAGTAGACTACTTAGCAACAACTAAAAACATCAGTGTGTTATCAACATTCTTCTCATACTTAATCCAAAACACAGCACTAGGAAGAAATTTAACTCTATCCCAGCTGAAACCAGGACATGTGCTAATAAGCTTATTGTGCTAATGTTGTCTGATGTTTTGTAAATGTCACCAATCAGCACAGTAAGCAAAAAATCCTTAAATCTCCCAAGGGTTCTGCTACTGGCTTGCTTTAAAATAGTCTAGTGGTTGGAACACTGAACCAGGATCTGGGTTCATTTCACGGTTTACTAACAGCACACATGTACAGACTCGAGCCAGTCTCTTAATTTATTAGGTGTATCTGCTATTGTTCCTGTGAGAATAGTACTCCATAGGAGAATTAGGCGACTGAATTGTATTATTGTCTTAGTGCTTCTGAAGCATCAAGTCCCATCATATACGTACAATCTGGTAGAAAACAGAGCTGGTTTGCTGAACCTAAAATAGGAATAAAACCATTACTTTGAAATTTTTTTCCTCCATGCGTGTGTTGGATGGTTATCATTACTTCTTACAGAGTTAGTTACTTGTAAGAGAAAAGGTAAAACAAATATACTCTGTTTTCAGGGATTTGTGTTCACCTGTTTTAAATCACATTAAATGGAATCTTAACACATGTCAGTGATTTTCTTCCACTTTAAAATTTAGATTTCGTTAAAGCTATTTATTAGTTAAAAATAAGTGGGTTTGAAATTATTTCAACTATTTCTGACATATTATCAATAATCTTAAGATCTAGCTGAAACTTAAAAGTGAGAGTCCAAAGTTGCATTCCGTTTTTAGCTGTCTAAATAAATTGCTGGACACTCGAAAGTGCAGATATGCTATTCATTCTCGTATTTACAGCTGGAAGTGGAAATCTGAGGATCTAATCATCTGCGCAGCGTGGAGAAAATGGAGGGCTTTGTATTTTTGCAGCACTTTGGGTTCTTTTATTGTAGTGTTATTTGTGTCAGTGGAGTTTAAGGATCGTAGTGTTTTTCATTGTATTGAATTGAAGAGTTCTTTACAAATTTCCACCTTCATCTGGCAAGGCCATGGAAGTCAGCAAGATTACCTGCAGGAGCGCGTGAAGGTTTGTAGGATTGAGTCCAGTTTCAATGCTAGGCTTATTATCCTGATCATTAAAATATTACCATCTCTGCGATAGACTTGGAAAACTCTTAAACAAATCCCAGCAACAGCGAACTGCAGAGGGAGCTTTAGAAAAGGCTATAAATTGGAAAAGATTATAGTAGACGCAACATTATTCCTTTTGCAAAAGAGACCCAGGGGTCTTTAATGCAGTATTTTGTGCTATTTTTATGTTTAGAGCGTATCAAACTGAGCACATGCTTCTCCTGACTTTTGTCTACACTGTGAACGATGTGAATAGTGTGATAGATGAGATCAGTTGAAGTGATGATAAAGTCTCTGCAGAAGCTTTATACAAAGTTGCTGAAGACTTCATTTGTAGGTAATGTAATGACTCCTTGTTTTCCTTTTTTGTAGCACTTTACCTAGTCTTGATGCTCCCTACCCCATGCTGGTATTAGTTGGCCCTCTAGCCTGTGGTAAGAGAGAGCTTACTCATAAGATCTGCAGACAGTTCAACAATTTCTTCAGATACAGGTACGTTTGCTCCATAAGTTTAAAAGAACGCCAAGTGATCAAGGCTAGAATTGCTGCTGGTTTGTTTTTCTTTTTTTTTTTTTTTAGAAGAAGTTAAAAGTTAAAGGCAACCAATAAATGTTCATTGCTATGCATTTTATCTCTTCCCAGGGCTTGATTGCCTGAAGTCATCAAATACATCCTTAAAAGACAAGCTATTTAAATTATCATGTTCTTTTCAAAGGTGAATAGCAAACAAACAAACAAAAATGTGTCGTTTAGTGCTCCTTTTATTGATCTGTTCTATCTATGCTCACTAATGCCCCTCAACCTAAGCATCTGTTTATATATGTATGCATTTCTCTTAATTTTTATAATGTACCTGCATATAAACACATTAGCATGCATGTGCAGACTGCATCCAGAAGCTAGGAAAGGAAGCAAGTGCAATTGCTGGACCAGTTTATTATCCTGCAAGTAGTGTTATCAAAGTAAACGGCACCTTTCAGACCTCACCACCTGCTGGGCGGACTAATTCTCCCTATCTGAAATGCCTAAGGATTATGATTCTTACTGCCTTGGGCTCCCTGTGTATTTAGTGGAGAGCAACTATTTCTTTCCAAGGGAGATTCAGCCTTTGTGAACCACTTCCTTGAGGTATCTACCTGTTTTCAGTGCTCAGTAGATAGGAAGTCTGGCCAAGTTAGATCACCACTATCTGTTGCCTAAAATTAGGTGGTGCAAGCTGTTCTTCTTGTCCACCCATTCCATTCTTCATAGTACCTAACTTTCACAGGTCCTATAGCACATGCTACTCGGCACTGGTCTGTGTTCCTGTTATATTGTGCCTCCTTTATTTTCTCATTTTTTTTATCACACGAATTTATCCATTCATTTTTAACCGGACTTTGGCCATAGTTTCACATGCATAGTATTTGCCACAGTAGGACCTGGGTCTATATTTGTGCACTCTTAGGTACTGAAGTGATGAGTTGTAAGTAAGGGGCCATGGGCATATGCCCAGAGTTCTGAGCATCGCAGGACCATGCTCTGCATGTCGATGTGATGTCTAGTAGTAGCCGCCTTCTCTAACGTAATACACCACGGTAAAGGAGCCTATATGTATTTCTGTCTGCTCTGTACTCAGATTATAGCCTCTTGCTGGATTAGATCATTAAACTAGCAAGTTGAAAGGACATTTTAAGAAAAGATCTGTGAAGGTTATGTGACTGGAAAAATGACTTTTTTGCCTTTCTTTAAAGCTACTACTATGTTTTGAAAGACTAGATTGGAAATTACAAACAAATTGAATACCAATTGAAATCTTCCAAGCACTATGTGGTTTTTTTAAAAGCATTGTTTTTATACTGTGTATTTTATTTCCTAGAAGTTTTATGCATGAGGGGAAAAAAAAGGGGGAGAGAGAGATTCTTAACAGAGCAGAAAATTGCAACCATAAAGCAAAGTTGTATTTTAATTATTCAGTGGAGATTTAAGCAATTTTATGGCTTACACTTTTAAATTTCAAACATTCCACTCATTAAAAATGTATTTCATGCAAGATACCCCGGCAGTTTGAATGTAAACACGGCCTTGCAATTAAAAAGGGTTGTAATGTTTAAAAGTGTTTCAAAAAATAAAGTGAAATTGGACCCTCAAACCATCTGGCTAGTGCTCAGGAATGACCTTTAAAGCTGGATGCGTTCATAATATCTTAAAGACAATCAGGCCTTTGAAGTGAAATTTTACAGAGTCCATGTGTAGCACATTGTTCTCATTTGCCACAGCTTGCTGGTAAAAAAAGCGGCACCCTCTAATGCCATGATAGTTAGGATCTGTCAAGCTCTGCTTTATAGACTAAACTTCTTAATGGTTTATAACTCAGCTACCTTGAATAAATGAACAGAAATGGCCTGGTAGGGGTGTACTAGTAGGTGGTATATTTTTTGCCGTATTTTCCAGGACAATCCCGCAAAAGCCAAAGAGTTAAAATGTTGTTGGTGTGAATCGATGCCAAAGCTCCACATCACACTTTTGTTCCTGTTATCTTACAATGTAAAAATTAAAAACAAAAACAAAGCAGAAACAAGTAGCAAAATATAATTTCCTGAGAGAGAACATGAGCCACTGCATACTTTAATCTAAAATTGCTACATGCGTTGGCTTAGCTGAAGTTTTTTTGTTTTGTTTGGGGTGGTTTTTTTAGTGTTTCATCCTGGTAGCAAGCTCACGTATCTGAGGTTTATCCTATTGTCCTTATGTGGTGGCAGGCAATTACTTTTCCTGCCTTGTATCCCACTTATCTCCCTAGTTTCAGGATTGTTTCCCCCTTTACTATTAGGAGTCTATTTAAAGATTGGTATTTGTATCTCTTCCTTAACCTCACAGTTCAGCATAACTCCTAGTCTCCTTTTCCATATTTAGGATTCTACTTTATATCATCCACAAGCTGACATAACTGGAAAAAAATTGTTTCATCATTTCTCTATTACAGGGTGCTGTGACAGCTTCAGTTCAGCCTATCTTAGGTTGGGGGGGATTTATAGCCAAAATGTAATGCTACATTTAAACTTTTTTTTTTTATTTATGGGTTAATCTTTCAAATATGCAGCATTAGTGGTATGATTTGCACCTCTTTATATTTCTCATATTTCTTCTCTTCTTAAAAATAAAATGATTTGTAGTATTCTCTCTTTCCCCCCTCCTATTCCATAGCTGCTTCTATGATTGAAAACAGGTTATTCCTTTATTATACCATATATCTTCCAGTCCCTGTCACACTACCAGGGCAGCTTACTTTGGTGAAGAAAACAGACTTGATTACTATTTCATTTCTCAAGAAGCATTTGACAAAATGGTGAACACAGTAAGTACCTGACTAGTATCGTAGTAGGCCCATTTCCTACACTCAGAGTAAACTCAACTTTTCTGTCCAGGTCTGATTTTTTTTTTTTTTTTATATTAAGTTTGTGTCTGTGTGTGCGTGCTTATTCACTCACAGTTATGTGGCTTAAGTTCATACACAGAAACCACAAATTGGTTGTATATTTATGCTGTCTTTTCTTCTGTATGCATATATAGAAACCATTAAATGGGCATAATGGTCA